GGGAGGCCTGTATGAATTCTCCTACTCTCAGTTACTATTATCTACTCTAGATATGAAGGTGCAGCAACAAACCCTGTGCACTCTTACAGTCCAGTGCAACTTAAACCCAGTCCAATACAGTCTCCATCACAGAGGAAAAAAAGACTGATCTACCACAGGCATTGTTTGACTGGGGATGAGCCTTTCTTTCCTCTCTTTCCTTCTACCCCACCTTTATGTTAGCTGTCTGTATGACCTGCTGTCCTATGCTGCCTGCGCACCAGTAACAGGAATGTCAGGTGCAGCTTTCCTCTCATGACAGCAGCATACTCCTGCTTAGAGGACACTGGCCCTGAACTTGCTCTGCCTGTGCAGGTCTGCAGACAGCTGCTGCTGTACACTGCCATAGCCAGAAACCCTGACACCTGGGACATGGGGGAACACCACCCCACATCTTACACTAATTCCCCTCTCCAGGTTATTTCAGAAGTCCCTGCAGGAGGCCATCCTCCATACGAAAATGTTCCTTTGCACCCTGTCTGACCTGGAGCCTTCCCAGGTGCGCTGATGGGCTGGGGCTCCCCGCAGGCACAGAGACGGCGGCTCCTCCGCGGCTTCCCTGCTCTGCCTCTCGCGTGCAGCTGCTGCCATCTTGTGACGATAGGGCTGCTGGCCACCGGCACCCTGGTCGCCAGCTTCCGCATAATGGAGCTCTTAAACCTCGAGTACGTGGTCCTCTCCAACTCTGGGACTTGCTAAAGTGAAGAGACAAAACACTGAAATTAGCCATGAGTTAATATAATTCTGTCCCTTCACGCTGTTTCAAGTTTTCCTCTGCCAAGACGAGAGGGCTCAGCCCACCTCAGAGCCGTGGAACTGGATACTGGGCCAAGGGGCTTAGGGTGGTTCCAACAGCCAAGTCACCTAGGTGGAGAAAGAGTGAAGGGGGGGAAACAGAAACAAATGCTTCTGGTCAGATAAGTACCCCTGAATCCAGTGGCAATGGCATCAGTTGAAGACAAGAGAGAAACATAAATTAGGGAAGGCAAAATTTCAGATAGACTTCGGAAGCCTTAAGACCAACTAAGACGAGGACATAACAAGTGGCATCACTGGTCCCTATCACTACAGCAGTCAAAAATGAAGGTGCATTTCTCACCACAGTCACACAGAAAGCCTGTCACAGAGAAGAAAACTACATTTGTGTCATACATACACTTAGGTACAGTACTGACGTTTAAAAGACCCAAGGCATCTTCAGACATTTAGGGTAGGACCCTGGGTCTGGTCTTTCCTGAGAGATGGGCATTTGGGCAAACCCACGTGTTGGCTGTCTGGATCCAGGCTGGTTGCTTTATCATCACCCAAAGAAGAACTTAGCTCACTTCTGATTTCTGAATCTTCTCACCACTGCTGTGGGCTTGCTCATGTTACTATTTTTAATGTTATCTTACGCTTTTTAATACATTAAGGTATAGTAAATAAAGATTAAATGAGATTTGTATTTATTATTTTCAAATTCATTCATAGAGCAATTTGTGTCAGAAAAAAACATAAAACAAGAATGTATTAGCATTTGAAATGTAACAGCCTCGGTAATATTGAACACAAGGCTGTATTTTTCAGATAGTTTTAAAGCAATGTTTTAGGAAAAACAGTGAAAGCAACAACATTAAGGAAGCACAGCATATGTAATGGGCTGCTAGATCATTATTAGATATTCCAGTAAATATTTATAACATATTAAGTCATGTAGGTTTTTTTTATTTCTGAAATAATATTAGATGCAAAGTACAAGCTGTTGACATGTAATTTAGATACCAGGATCTTGCATGGATTTTCTGAAATAGAACACATTCAAACTTGTTTTTAAAGTCAGCAGTAGTCACCTGTGTTTGCTTGCTGAGTACAGCTTTGTTCATTTCAGCACACAAGTCTGTGCCTTTTCTGTCCCCACCACCAAAACACCATGTTCACAGGCCTCATTGTCAGGCAATGCAAGCCTCACATGTCCTCAGAACACAGGCAACACCCATACAAATCCTGAAATTGTACAATATTTCCCAAACATCTCTTTACTATGTAGGACTGTGTGAAACCCTCTATATAGTCCTGTTAAACAAAATGAACATGGACTTAAGCTATTTAGAGAGCATTATAGAAACGGTTGAACACACTACTATAATACTGTACAAATCAAGGATAGTTGAGGTGATACCACTGTCACTGAAAGGCAACAGATCCCCAGATTTCAGGTTTCACCTTCACAAAGTCCCATTCTGGTTTCATCCTTTGAATTGTAGTCTCTTAAGTACAGCAAAAAATCAGAGTGATAAGAAAAACAACTGAGACAGAAGTAATTCTTCAATGGTGATTTGGACTAGGAGGAAAAGAAAGTTAACTGACAAGCAACACAGGCAGAAAGGCAAGTAATAGCTTAAAAAAGCCCAAGAACAAAAATGTGAGGACAAAACAAAACAAAAGCTGAGAGGAAAAGAGGGAAGAACAAATGGAAGTAAAGAGGGAAGAAGTGAGCAAGGGAAGACATGAAAAAGACACAGAACATTTTGGGTTTTTTTCTGTAATTGAGTTGTAAACACTATGTTGATGTACTGTCAGAATCCAAGAGCAACTGAAAAAAAAATCTTTAAAATATAAAACAATAAAATGAAGACAGGTAAGACACCAGACTTGTGTGGCCCTAAAGTTCAGAGTGCCTTTGACAATTGCCTCAGCAAAACACCACTGGAGCTGCCTGGCTTAGACCTGAGATCCTCAGCTAAGTCGCTCTTCTTTCATGCAGACCTTCCATCATCTTATCGCAGCACAGCTAGTTGCCAGTTAGCGGGTAGCAATAAAAACAGCAACCCATCTTCCATCATCTGTCGCCACCTTCCCATTACAAAAATAACATTTTCTTTTCTTCCCTTTCTTATGCCAACCTATAAACCAGAGTTTTTCTCTGCCTCATGCTGTAAAAGAGTTTTCAAAAGCTGCCTGTGATCTCACAGCAGCTGATGAGAGGCAGGGCAGAGGCTGTAAACTGGGTGGCTTCTGCTATATTCCCCTCCTTCTACATAAACAGCTGGCCCCAAACTGCTTCTCCAGGTCTGTCTGACAGCATAGGTGCCTGCTGGTGAGCAGCTCTGCTGGGGACAGCAGAGGGACCCAGGGGATGTGCAAGAGCTGTACTACAGACCCACAAAAGAGGCCCCGCTCAAGACAGTGTGCGAACACTAGAATATCCCTCACAGGTCAGTTAAGCAGACCAATCAGCATCCTTAGCTGATGAGAACATGTTTTTCATTCATTTCTTTTCTCAGATTTCTGCACTTTACCCAAGAGCCCTGAAGCCCAGCAGGAGCACTGTGAAATTAAACAGCCACTTCTGCAGCAGGGAGAAAATGAGCAGCTTGTTCTTCCCAGTCCAAACTGAGTTTTAAGTTTCATATTTCAGCCCCTCCTTCACATTCCAGGCCTGCCCAGGCTCCTCTCCAAAGATTTCAAAAATGGAGCCTCTCACAACTGCTTATCCTCTGAAGTACTCAATCCCCAAAGCCAGGGTCTTTGTTGTCTCTCTGTCGATGGTTTTGTGTACTGCCATCCTCTGCCTGTTACAACTCAGATTTTTTAAACCTAAAATCAAAGATTTTTATTCTTTCGAAGTCAAAGATTCACGAGGAAGGATCGTTTCCTTGGAGAAGTACAGAGGGAAAGTAAGTTACAACTTCATTATATCTTTGTCTTGAATCTTTACTGAAAAACGGGTGTCCATTTGTTGATAAACAAAAAGTTTTGTTATGGGAATTTACAGTAGAGTTTTGTGCTAAATTCCTGTTCTTCAAACAGTAAAAAGCTGGAGAGAAATGTATTTTATCTGGGTCTGCTCCAGGAATTAATTATCAGAGCTAATAAATCAAGAAAAATATTCTTTTATATTCTTCACCATAAAGTAATATACCCTAACAATGGAATCTGTGCATTTTAATCTTCGTTAGGAATGATAGCATGTTGTGTTGAATTCCAGAAGTTATCCAATAAATACAATTTTAGTGCCTGTCCTAAGTATGTTTTTTACATGCTTATATTTAAACAAAGCTGTAAGTATAAACTTATCCATTTATTACATTTGCAAATCAGGATGTCTGACAGTAACTCTTTTCAGCTGCTGTCATTCTGATCTGCTTAATGAAATTATGATCAGAAAGGTTAAATTTAGCCTTCAGGTGAGAACAATTCTGGTAGTGGGATATGCCATTTGAAGATGCAATTGTAATCTCTATGCCATCTCTAGGAGTTTCTTTCTTACTATTCTAACTTTTATTTCTCTGAAGGCAACTTTGGTTGTAAACGTGGCCAGTTACTGCCAACACACAGACAAAAATTACATAGCGCTGCAAGAACTACACAGAGAGTTTGGTCCCTCCCACTTCACTGTGCTGGCTTTTCCCTGCAACCAGTTTGGAGAATCAGAGCCTAGTTCAAGCCAGGAAATAGAATCTTTTGCCAAAGGAAACTATGGAGTAACCTTCCCTGTTTTCCACAAAATCAAGATCCTAGGATCAGAAGCAGAGCCCGCCTTTAAATTTCTAATAGGTAACTATTTTCTTAACTATTTTCTTTTATGTATCGAGCTGCCTGTAACAGTGGTGTTCTCCTTAAATTCCAGTTTGAGTTTGTTTGTCGGGCTTAATCTGAGCAAACATCATAGTTTTCATTGTCTGTGGAGACAAACAGGCACTTTGAGCATGCAATTCGTCTCGTTTTAATGTGGACATCAAAAATATAGTCAGAAGAGCTGAAAGCATCCATTTCTCCCCAGTGGTTGTAAAAACAGCCTACTGTGACCAGCCCATCTAGCAGTATCTATTTTGTGGGCATATAAACTTGAGAGCAAAGACTCCCACCTACAACATCCTACTTCAGATTTTCTATGTTGGAAAGCAACAATTCTTATGGAGAAAAGGGTAACTATGGGTATCTTCATATTACTGGAAGATTTTACATAAACTCATGCAGAAGAGAAGATTTCTTTTTTAGCCATCATATGTCCACCATTTTGTAAACAGAATTGTAAATCAGGATTATATATACTGTAGTTCCATATAAGCACTGATTTGTGAACTTCACGGCCTGGCCTTGCACAAATACTCCTGTTACAGTAAGCATTTACTGACTTAGAGCCTCATATTCTCACAAGCAAAATGAAACCCTCTTCAGTTTACCGAAGAGCTCACACAGACCCAAAGCCAACTTAAAAAGCCTCTCTGAATTCTCCAGAGCTTTGGCCAGGTCTTTCACTTGACATGTATCATACCAAACACTGGTATATGAACGAAAAGATAAGAACATAAGTCTTCTGTATCACACCATTTTAACTAGAAAATAAGGCAGGAGAAGGCCCAAATCTATATTCCATCTCTCTGTGGCAAGCCAGGATCATAGCTACTCAAACCAGTATTACAGATGCTTCTCCATACTATTACAGTAGACATATAAGAGATTGTCTGCTCCTTGTCTACTCTAGTTCTTCACAGCTCCTCAGAAAGCTATTTCAACATCTAAATTAAATAGTTCTTACATCACTTAAGACTGTTGCTTCTTGCCGTATCCTCTGTGATACCTCTTGTGTATTTAAAAAGTATTATCATTTAAGAGTCATTTAAGCGATCACCACTGTCACTGTAACTCTATAACTGTCACCGTATCATCCTGTCTCCCATGTCACCAAAGACCTCGGGTAAAGCCTCATTGCTCTAAGTTGCCTGATGTCCAGTGGAATTACTGAGTGCACTCTGGAGGTGCTCCTCAGAAGAGACATGGGCACGTAGGTAATCAGCTAGGTGGGATGTATCCAGATTCTAATGACAAGTGCAATCAGCATCAGACACGAATACCTGTACATAAGCAGAACTGTCATATTTATTCACTCGGTTCTTATTTGAGATACTATTCACTCACAAGGAGTATGACTTCCTGCTCCCATTTCACTTCTTCTAAACCAACATAAAACTGGGTATTCTACAAATGGGCATGCAGCCCTCATATTCTCCTCAGGAAGCAGAGCGTAGTAAAATTAGGAACTCTTAAACAGTTTCACAGGAAGGGGAGAGCATCATTCACCTCCCACTTTTCAGATCATTAACACCAACCAGTAAATCCATGCCCAGACCACCAGCAAAGAACAAGGTGGAATTACTTCAACATAAATAGTTGAATAATCACTGCAGGGTAATGAAACAATAACAAGTGTAAGTCACTAAAATCTGATGCCATTCTTACAGATTCTTCAAAGAAAGAGCCTCGATGGAATTTCTGGAAGTACCTTGTCAGCCCAGAGGGTAAAGTTGTGAAATTCTGGAGACCTGAAGAGCCCATAGAAAGTATAAAGCCAGAAGTAACATCATTAATTAGGCAGATTATAATGAAAAAAAGAGAAGACCTCTGAAAAAGCTGCTCATGCCGTGAATCCATTCAGTACAACTTTACTACATTCCTGGGAAATACTACTAGAAGCTAAACCATCAGGTGACTTGACTTCTCTTTGGTGTTAGTCTTTTCAGCTACACTATGTCAATTAATGTTGGATTGGCCCCTGCAACAGCATTGAGAACCAATGAGCTTACTGAGAATGGCAAGGCACTCAGCATCTTGCAGGAATGGACCTTCAATTTGCATAAAGTTTCTGAACATCTCTTTAAATGCTGACAATAGCTAACTCAAATTGTCACCAGCAGAAGATAGCTAAGAAGATTATTTGATAAATTACTCAATATTTGCACCCAAGTTTTGTTTCCCATCTACCAATGACAAATAGTTTTTTATATTCCACTAACACATAATTGCCCTGACTGAAAGACATGGGGCCCAGAAGCATTATACCAGGGTTTTTAAGAGACAAATGTTAACTGAAGATACCAGCTTTGCAATATCTTCTCAAAGATTACTAAATTGTAAAGCTGTCAGCTTAGTTGTAAAATCTGTACATAGAGATTATTATTATTAAAAGAAAAAAATGCAAAAACATTGGCTTGCCTGCTTTATATTTTGATTCATTTTACCTTTCACCATCTACAGCAATACCTTTAACCTCTTTAGCCCTCTCTATTCATTTTCACTGCAGTACAGTGCCCCAGTTGTGAGCTCATCTCCTGCCTGATTCCCAGTCTTCTGACCTGGATGAAAGCAGGGCCTGTGTGAATATCATGGTTGCTTACAGCAGGATTCAAGGGGCAACAAAAGTCAGCAGCCTGGCACTCTTAACTGACATCTTTCTGAGGCAGTCCAAGACAGTGCTCCCCAGCCATCTACCTCACATCTCTGGAATAAATCAGCAGTCTTCAAGTAGAGGTAGAAGAAGGGGATGAAGGTTCATGCCTCAAGCCCCACTCTTCTCACCTTGTGATCTCCCCAGTCCGGCATTAACTGCAAACCCATTTCCACTTCTGCTCTGTTTCAAACTGCAAAGTGTTTTGATTTATCTGTTTTATGAAGGAAGACAGTAAATTGGAATAAGGAACCTCATTCCAGGTGTCTAAGTCTTAAAGAAGGGCTGAGAAAATAAAAATTAGAGAAACCAGTGTCTTAGAAGAATAAACCAAGTGAGAGATAAGGACATTAAAAATTTAAAAAGAAAAGACTGAGTAAGGATATTGAAGTGGACGATTAAACAAAGTCACCCTTAATAATGACAACCATCATTTTGGAAGGGAAGTCAAACCTTATGCGTAACAATTTTAGCCACTCTAACTTTCAGAGACCAGTTAAGGTCTACATAAGAATCTAGTTAATCCAAATGTGCCTGCAGCTGAGATTTTAGACCAACCTCTGAGCTGTTTGCCATTAGCCCACAGGATTCCACATCCAATCTGTCAAGACAGTTCCTGTTCTGATGCTGAAGTTCTGCTTTTACTCCAGTCTCCTCATGCATGTACGGTTCCAGCCTTGGGAACATTTAGCAGAACACGTCAGGTGATTTTTGTCTCGTGGCCCTGCTGCTTTGATGGAGCAGAAAGGGAACTGAGACACAGATCCTCTCTGCTTGCTGGAAGCACTCTATATTCCATGGAATTAAGTGGCAGGACACAATATTTTGCCCATAAATGGTGGATGTTATCTTTAACTGAAAATGTACATGACTAAAACATGCATGTGCATTCATGTGCACCATTATAGCTCCCTGCTTTTCATATCACTGAATTAAAAAAAAAAGAGGTAAAAAGAAGGGAGTTTGGAAGCAATCACAATGGAAGGGATTGTGCATACCTTGCTTGTGATTCACTCACTAAAGTTCATACTCTGTTTTTCACAGGATACACTGTAAACTTAAATAACTCAAAGCCAGCATTAAGATCAAATCTCTTTCCTGGTATTCAGAAATAGCATGGGATATTAGCAAATGAGTGGACAGAATTATTTAACTCACTGCTTCCTCAGTTACTTCAGATTCCTAGAAAAAGAAGGTTTTCCCTAAGAAAACAGTCATTGAATTTCTTATTTCACCTGTTTTTCACAATCCACTGCAACCATCTTCTGTAGAAATTTGAATAGAATTTAGTGCTGAGTCTACACAGAGTTTAAGTTTTTCAAAGTTTACTGTTAATTAACATTCCTCAAAAAACTCAGTATGTTTGTATTACTTATTAATCATGAGGCATACTAATGCTTCCAAATTAGGGCAGATCACTGACAAACTAATCACTTGTTTCTTAAAACCAAGTTACCAGTTATCCAGGGTAAAAATAAAGCATCTCTAACTGCCAAATTTACATACACTTGGAAAGGCAAATAAATAAAACTAAAGTTACAACACTTATACAAGCACGCACTTATCTGTAGTCAAAATCCAATAGTAATACAAATACATGTTTGTATAAGTATCCACTTACAGTTTATGTAGGACAAGGGATATAAAAAAATCCTAAACTACATACGCTATAAACAGGTTAAACCTATTTGTTGGATTCTTAAATAATCCCACCAATTCAAGATAAAACTGCCTTCCTAAGAAAGTTAATAGATTTCAGTCCATGAGTGCTAAATTTTCTTCAACTCAATTTGAACATAACCTATTGCATCCTTCATCCTAACACTTCCTTCACTCCTGTCTCATGCTTCCACAACTCCTGAGGTCAGACATATCCTCATTATCTCCAACAGATAACATGTAACTGTCAGCTTCTCTTTCAAAAAAAATTGCCTAGAACTGCAAATATTCTAAATTCTTTTCAGTCACCAGCTGGACATGTGTCTGTTAATTCAAGTTTTATCAGAAAATACATAAAAAAGCCCACACATCAATGCTCCAGTAAAAGTAGTGTAAGAGAAACATACTCATGCAGGGCCCAGACCTGAAACTCTTACTTAATACTGTCATAATTTAGTAAGTTCTTTAGAAATCAGTTGGATTAGCTGTCTAAGTATGTCAAACACAGTTAGACTTATATTTATACCCTACATTCACTCAGTTTGCATAACCTAGCACAGCTCCTTTCAGTCACGGGAACTAGGCAGGCATTGGGCTCCATACCAGCTTAGGATCCAATGAGATAGTCATAACAACAGTGCTTATATTCACATTCAACAGTGACATGCTAATGTGGCAGTGTAGTCAGTTGCTGGTGTATGAAGAACAGCTAACTAACAATGCACTGCCAAATCACCACACACAACACTATCACAATCAGGATCACCCTGATTCTGCAGGCCTTCACAAACATAGATGCTATTTCTCATCCTAGGAGACCATCACTTTGCAAGGCACAACTCGGAGCACCTAGATAAAGCAAGTAATAACAAAGTTTCTTTTGTATTCTGCAAGTGCCTGAAGTGCCAGGTTGAGGATAGAGGTAATACTCTGTTGCCCATGGCATTATGTTTGATAGAAACTTCCAGTGTAACATGCATCAATGTGCTTTCAGCCTTTATTCTTCCAAAATACAGTATTACATCCTATTCACATTGTCTCCTGGTTGGTGAGATTATGTGCAGTTGTTTTAATGTACTGCTATTCACAAATTAAGTTATTCTGAGAAGCAAGGAGAGAAGAAAAACTCCAGAGTAGACTTCTCTTTGTTTTATAGAATGGAAATGTAATTACTTTTCAGATATAGCATTCAGGCAGTTAGTGAAAGTGATTTTAAGCCTTTCCTGCACCTAATTACTCGGTTAAAAAAAACCAAAACAATGCCCCAAAAAAACAACCACAAATTGGCATTCGCCAAACATCATTGTAAAAAATTTCATATCAGACTTAAAAATTCATCCAACTCAGTTTTTAAGTGTGCTTCTTTTGCCTTAATAAAACTTCCAGAGCTTAAAATTTTTTAAAATATTTGAATTATTTACCTGTTTCAGGTACTTATAAACTTCCTATTACCTTGGTAAAGCAGATGAAAATTAGAGTCTAAATTAACAAAAAATTCTCATAATTGTTTGGATAACAGTAGATAATAGAAATACAAGATACCACTATAATACCAAAAATAAGCCTGACAGTCAACAAAAGCAATAATCAGGTGGGCCCAAAATATTCCTGATACAAAAGTAATAGCTCTTCATTTTGATGATCAAGGTATGTGGAAAAGCATAGCAACTGCATGTTAGCTGATGTCAGAATTTCAACCAGCTAACATACACTGCCATCCCATCACACACAGATGCACCACTTGCATTCCCGGAAATCAGAAGCTGAGCACTTTCCAAAGGAGCCGCCTTTGAACAGCGATGATCTGGTCCTGCAGCAGGTGGCAGTGCAGTAGTGACTGCTATGTTCAGTTACAGCAGCCAGCTAGCAGTACACTGCCTACCAGACACAGAATGTCTCATGAAATAACATGCCAGGAACCTTCTTTTATTTTCTACCTAAATTAAGAATTGCTCACCTGTTTTGAGGTTCACATTTCATATACTTTACATATACAAGTTCAAACAGTAAATACTGTCATGAAATAAATGGCACAGATAAGTTTCCGATTCAGCAAATCCTGAGTATGACTAGGATCAGACCCCAGGCTGTCCAAAAGGAACTGGATAGTGTTCCGAACAGTTTCTTGCCTTAGTTGAAGAAGCACCACCATAGTATGTTATGTCTACAAGTTAATGAGTATCATACACACTCAATTCAGTCCTTTTCTCCCTTAGGCATCTGCTTATGGTCACTGTTGATACCCAGCCCTTAGTCTAGATGAGCACAGAGTCTAACTCAGTATAGTCAATTTTAGGTTATTTTGAAATTAAGATTATCATTGGTTACTCCATAGTGCAACTTAACTTTAGGTGATGAGCTGCACTGTACTTCCATTTGCAGCATAATGGAGGATGCATAAAGATCCCAAGATTCAAGCTTATGGATTTAGGCTGGATGGAGGTAAAATTTTGAGGGACAGCCCTTTGAAGTCATGCAGAAAAGCAGCCACCGAGTTAGATGCGTTTATAAATATCAGTGAATACCGAATTTGAAACCTTTCTTTTGTTTCTTAAAAACTGATCTTAAATCACTCAAAATAAATGTCAACTCATTGCAAAACAAAACATTAAAGCATTTACTTGCTTGAGTGCTGCTATTAGCAGCCACGGAAGGCATTGGCTAAATGACTTCTGCCTATTCCACAAGAGGAAGGGCC